AGAAATCAATTTTGTTTTTCAAAAATGTTTGGATGTCCTGCTCATGCTGCTGATAGAAGTTGTCTTGATCACTGTGTCCAGCGCAGATTTTAACACAGGGGTTGTACTTTTTCAATGTAAACTCTACCGAATCTTCAGGGCGACTGGTGATAAAGAACACAAGCCATTCGGGAAGCAGGGGAAAGCGGTGCATTATGAGATCAAGAAAATCTTCCCTGGACTCATACTCTGTCTCGTCCAGTGCGTCAATAATAACTACCTTTCTCTGGTCACAAGGAAAACACTTACTTAATGGCTCATCTAACAATTTTGTAAAGAGCTCCTGAATACCAAGCTTAGAATTACCTAACAACATTTTTACTCCACTTTCTCCTCCTACAGTTACTTTATACTGAGTATTGCAATCACAGAGTTGACGTGCAACAGTCCCAAGAAGATATCTGGGATCATTCCTTGTGCCATCGTTGTGACGGCAGAAGTAGGCAGCTCCTAAGTGTCCAGCCTTTCTCATACGCTGCGCCATGACTCCCGCCATCACACTTTTGCCGACTCCTGGATCCCCTAAGAGTACATAAGCTCTAGAATCACCTGGATCACGGAACCACTCATCAAAATTGTCAAAAAACCACTGCCTCGTATCTGGAAGGCGACGTTTGGCAAAAAACGCGATGTCACTTTCACAACCGGCAATCTCTGGAAAATAAAATTAAGCGACATATTTATATTTCCCGAGTTGAATTGAGAAATGGTTAAACGGTGCGTATCGACAACACAGAGGAAACTGAACAAGGTATAATGTTGCAGTATTACGAAATATATAAGTATGCTTGTCATCTCACAACTGGGTTCAAAAGAAGTCCCATATTACTCAGGGTACTTTCTATTCCCGCCTACATCTGTAAATCCTGTTTATTGTATTGCTCACGCCAGCTTTTGATGTTAAAACAGTGTGTATCATCTATAGGAAAACTTCTTCAGTGTCCTGCCGCAGCTCAAACTATATAAGTAGGTCAATATCTATAATTCATAATCTATATGCCCGGGTCGCACTACAGCCAATTTTCTTTGTATAAGTAATAAATCTGTCAACAAGTAGCGTTAAATAAGTGCGACCCCCAGTTTCAAAAACTTACCAAATTTTTGCGGATTGCCAAAATTTCGCCAATCTTCAAAGAAGCCGAAGTGCTGCCTCGGAGGCTTCCAAATTTTGGCAAAGCAAACAATTTTGTTATTTTAACTATTTAACTGTCATATTTTTTAAACCATGCCTGGATAAAATTACGGCCAGAAAATAACTTTGACGGCTAGGCCAGTTTGGCGCGTGCGATGGCGGGACAAAATCATTTTTTTACAGTTATTTCAATGCAAACGAGGAATATGAGCGGCGTTTTTATTCAGATTCTTATGACTCGTAAGATGGATCTGGTTACTGGCAGAAATCTGAAGAGATGGCTTTAACGAGAAGTAGTATATAGGGAGTCAAACAAATACCGTTTCGCAGAGGGAGCTTTATTTCACCTTATCGCAGCCCCCACCATCAAGT